CCAGGGAGAGTAGCTCTCCAGGGAGAGGTAGATGTCTAGAGAGAGGTAGTTGTCCAGGGAGAGGCAGTTGTCCAGGGAGAGTAGTTGTCCAATGAGAGTTGTCCAGGGAGAGTAGTTGTCCAGGGAGAGTACTTGTCCAGGGAGAGGTAGTTGTCCATAGAGGTTGTTGTATAGGGGCAGGTAGTTGTTCAGGGATAGATAGTTGTACAGAAGCAGATAGATGTCCAGGGACAGGTAGCTGTCCAGGGAGTGGTAGTTGCCCAGGGGCAGGAAGTTGTCCTGGAGCACGCATTTATCATGGGGCACATATTTGTCCTGGGGCAGGTAGTTGTGCTGGAGTAGGTAGATGAGTTGGGACAGGTAGTAGTGTTGAGACAGATAGTTGTGCTAGAGCAGGTAGCTGTTTTGAGACAGGTAGTTGTGCTAGAGCAGATAGTTGTGCTGGAGCAGGTAGTTGTGCTGGGACAGATAGTTGTGCCATACCGGGTAGTTGTGCTAGTACAGGTAGTTGTGCCGAAGCACGAAGTTGTGCAGGAGCAAGTAGTTTTGCTGGGACAGGTAACTGTGCTGAGACATGTAATCTCTGAACCAGTCATCTACACATGTAGTTGTGCTGAGGAGGTAGATGTGCAGGGACGGGTAGTTGTGCTGGGACAGGTAGTTATGATGGGACAGTTGTAGTGCTGGGACTGATAGTTGTGCTGGAGCAGGTAGTTGTGCTGGGGCAGGTAGTTGTGTAGGGGCAGGTAGTTGTGTAGGGGCAGGTAGTTGTGTAGGGGAAGGTAGTTGTGTAGGGGCAGGTAGTTGTGTAGGGGCAGGTAGTTGTGTAGGGGCAGGTAGTTGTGTAGGGGCAGGTAGTTGTGTAGGGGCAGGTAGTTGTGTAGGGGCAGGTAGTTGTGGTGGGATATTTAGTTGTGCTGGGACAGGTAGTTGTGCTGGGACAGGTAGTTGTGCTGGGACAGGTAGTTGCGCTGGGATAGGTAGTTGTGCTGGGACAGGTAGTTGTGCTGGGACAGGTAGTTGTGCTGAGTAGGTAGTTGTGCTGGGACAGGTAGTTGTGCTGGGACAGGTAGTTGTGCTGGGACAGAGAGTTGTGCTGGGACAGGTAGTTGTGCTGGGATAGGTAGTTGTGCTAGAACAGGTAGTTGTGCTGGAGTAGGTAGTTGTGCTGGAGTAGGTAGTTGCGCTGGGATAGGTAGTTGTGCTGGAACAGGTAGTTGTGCTGGGACAGGTAGTTGTGCTGGAGTAGGTAGTTGTGCTAGAACAGGTAGTTGTGCTGGGACAGGTAGTTGTGCTGGAGTAGGTAGTTGTGCTAGAACAGGTAGTTGTGCTGGGACAGGTAGTTGTGCTGGAGTAGGTAGTTGTGCTAGAACAGGTAGTTGTGCTGGGACAGGTAGTTGTGCTGGAGTAGGTAGTTGCGCTGGGATAGGTAGTTGTGCTGGAACAGGTAGTTGTGCTGGGATAGGTAGTTGTGCTAGAACAGGTAGTTGTGCTGGGACAGGTAGTTGTACTGAAGCAGGAAGTTGTGCTGGAGTAGGTAGTTGTGCTGGGACAGGTAGTTGTGCTGAGATAGGTAGTTGTGCTAGAACAGGTAGTTGTGCTAGAACAGGTAGTTGTGCTGGGACAGGTAGTTGTGCTGGGATAGGTAGTTGTGCTAGAACAGGTAGTTGTGCTAGAACAGGTAGTTGTGCTGGGACAGGTAGTTGTGCTGGGATAGGTAGTTGTGATGAAGCAGGAAGGTGTGCTGGAGTAGGTAGTTGAGCTGGAACAGGTAGTTGAGCTGGGACAAGTGGTTGTGCTAGAACAGGTAGTTGTGCTAGAACAGGTAGTTGTGCTGGGATAGGTAGTTGTGATGAAGCAGGAAGGTGTGCTGGAGTAGGTAGTTGAGCTGGAACAGGTAGTTGAGCTGGGACAAGTGGTTGTGCTAGAACAGGTAGTTGTGCTAGAACAGGTAGTTGTGCTAGAACAGGTAGTTGTGCTGGGATAGGTAGTTGTGCTAGAACAGGTAGTTGTGCTGAAGCAGGAAGGTGTGCTGGAGTAGGTAGTTGAGCTGGAACAGGTAGTTGAGCTGGGACAAGTGGTTGTGCTAGAACAGGTAGTTGTGCTAGAACAGGTAGTTGTGCTAGAACAGGTAGTTGTGCTAGAACAGGTAGTTGTGCTGGGATAGGTAGTTGTGCTAGAACAGGTAGTTGTGCTGAAGCAGGAAGGTGTGCTGGAGTAGGTAGTTGAGCTGGAACAGGTAGTTGAGCTGGGACAAGTGGTTGTGCTAGAACAGGTAGTTGTGCTGAAGGAGGAAGTTGTGCTGAAAAATGTAGTTGTCCTGGGACAGGTAGTTGTGCTGAAGCAGGTACTTATGCTGAGATAGGTAGTTTTGCTGAAGCAGGTAGTTGTGTTGGTACAGGTAGTTGTGCCGAAAAATGAAGTTGTGCAGGAGCAGGCAGTGTTTCTGGGACAGGTAATTGTGCTGAGACACGTAATCTCTGAACCAGTCATCTGCACACGTAGTTGTGCTGGGGGCAGGTAGTTGTGCATGGATAGGTAGTTGTGCTGGGACAGGTAGTTATGCTGGGACAGGTAGTTGTGCTGGGACAGGTAGTTGTGCTGGGACAGGTAGTTGTGCTGGGACAGGTAGTTGTGCTGGGACAGGTAGTTGTGCTGGACAGGTAGTTATGCTGGGACAGGTAGTTGTGCTGGGACAGGTAGTTGTGCTGGGACAGGTAGTTGTGCTGGGACAGGTAGTTGTGCTGGGACAGGTAGTTGTGCTGGGACAGGTAGTTATGCTGGGACAGGTAGTTGTGCTGGGACAGGTAGTTGTGCTGGGACAGGTAGTTGTGCTGGAGCAGGTAGTTGTGCTGGGACAGGTAATTGTGCTGGGACAGATAGTTGTGGTGGAGCAGGTAGTTCTGCTGGGGCAGGTAGCTGCCCTTGGGCAGGTAGTTATGCTGCGACATGTAGTTGCGTAGGTGCAGGTAGTTGTTCTAGAGGAGGTAGTTGTGCTGGGGTAGTTAGTTGTGCTGGGACAGGTAGTTGAGCTGGGGCAGGTAATTGTGCAGGGGCAGGTAGTTGTGCAGGGGCAGGTAGTTGTGCTGGGGTAGGAAGTTGTGCTGGGACAGATAGTTGCGCTGGGACAGATAGTTGCGCTGGAGCAGGTAGTTCTGCTTGGGCAGGTAGCTGTGCAGGAGTAGGTATTTGTCCTGGACCAGGTAGTTATGCTGGGGCAGATAGTTGTGCTGCGACAGGTAGTTGTTCTGGGACAGGTAGTTGTGCTGGGGCAGGTAGTTGTGCTGGGACAGGTAGTTGAGCTGGGGCAGGTAGTTGTGCTGGGGCAGGTAGTTGTGCAGGGGCAGGTAGTCGTGCTGGGGCAGGTAGTTGTGCAGGGGCAGGTAGTTGTGCAGGGGCAGGCAGTTGTGTTGGGGCAGGTATTTGTCCCGGGACAGGTAGTTGTGCAGGAGCAGGTAGTTGTACTGGGGCAGGTAGTTGTGCTGGGAGAGGTAGTTGTGCTGGAGCAGGAAGTTGTGTTGGGACAGGTGGTTGTGCTGGGACAGGTAATTGTCCTGGGACAGGTAGTTGTGCTGGGACAGGTATTTTTACTGGGGCAGGTATTTGTCCTGACAGGTAGTTGTGCTGGGGCAGGTAGTTTTGCTGTGGCCGGTAGGCTTGTTGGGACAGGTAGTTTTGCTTGGACAGGTTGTGCTGGGACAGGTAGTTTTACCGTCGCAGGTATTTGTCCTGATAGGTAGTTGTGCTGAGGCAGGTAGTTGTGCTGAGACAGGTAGATGTCCTGGGACAGGTAGTTGTGCTGGGGGAGGTAGTTGTGTTGGGGCAGGTAGGTGTGCTGGGACAGGTAGTTGTGCTGAGACAGGCAGTTGTGCTGGAGCAAGTAGTTGCGCTGGGGAAGTCGTTGTGTTGGGGCATGTAGTTGTGCTGGGACAGGTATTTGTGCTGAGACAGGCAGTTGTGATTGGACAGGTAGTTGTGCTGGAAGAAGTAGTTGTCCTGGGGAGGTAGTTGTGTTGGGGCAGGTAGGTGTGCTGGGACAGGTATTTGTGCTGAGACAGGCAGTTGTGATTGGACAGGTAGTTGTGCTGGGAGAAGTAGTTGTCCTGGGGTAGGTAGTTGTGCTGGGACAAGTAGCTGTCCTGGGGTAGGTAGTTGTGTCTGGTTTTTGTAGCTGTGCAGGGGAAGGTAGTTATCCTGGGGAAGATAGTTGTTCTGAGTCTGGCAACTGTGCTGTGGCAGGTAGTTGTCCTGGTGTAGGTAGTTGTCCTCTGGGCACGTAGTTGTCCTGGAGCTGGTAGTTATCCTGGTTCTGGTAGCTGTGCATGGGAAGGTAGTTGTCCAGTGGCTGGTAGCTGTTCTGGGACAGGTTGTTGTCCTGGGGTTGGTAGCTGTGCTGGGGCAGGTAGTTGTCCTGGGGTTGGTAGTTGTCCTGGGGCAGGTAGGTGTCCTGGGGTAAGCAGCTGTCCTGTTTCAGGCGCATGGCCTGCGAAAATTTTGTTCGATACTTCGGTAAAGAGGTGTTTTCCTGCGTCAAGTAGGAATTATTCTATTGATAATGAATGTGTGCCGTCTTGCGGGAGGCAGGCGTGTGTTGTCCTTTTGCAGGAGGGTGTGTGTTGTCCTTTTGCAGGAGGGTGTGTGTTGTCCTTCGGCAGAGGTGTATGTGTTGTCTTGCGGCAGCCCTCTGTCGGGTATCCTGCGGCAGGCGGGCGTGTGTTGTCCTGCGGCAGGCGGGTGTGTTTTCCTGCAACAGGAGGTGTGTTTTGTCATGCGGTAGGCGAGTGTGTGTTGTCCTGTGGTAGGCGAGTGTCTTGTTCTGTGGCAGGCGGGAGTGTTGTCCTGCGACAGGTAGTGTGTGTTGACCTGCGGCAGGCAGATGTGTGTTGTCCTGTGGCAGGCGAATGTGTTGTCCTGCGGAAGGCGGGAGCGTGCTGTCCTGCGGCAGACGGGAGCGTGTTGTCCTGTGGCAGACGGGAGTGTGTTGTCCTGCGGCAGGCGGGTGCTGTCCTGGAGGGCGGCCGCCGTGAGAGTAGCGCCACCCGTGGGTATATAAAGCGGCGGCGGCTGGAACTCGGCTCAGTGCACGGTGTGGCTGGGAGTCATCATGACCAGATTACGAGTTGCGGTGGTAGCGCTTGCCCTTCTTGGCATTGGTAAGTAGTGGGTACTGGACCTCTCAGTGACAAGGCTGGAATTCAGTGTCAAGATGCCCCCATCCCCCCTCGCAGTGAATACTGTACTACCATCAAGAAAGTGTGTCGTTTTGCCCAGTGATTTATCCATTTTTTATAGTCTTAAAAAAGACTGTTGCAAGTGTTTTCATATTGCATCAGGAGAAAGTGAACCAGTGTCTCACCTTCACCCGGCTAAGCAAAGCATTTTCACGAATGCTAAAAGTGACCGTAAACATTAGGGAGGTGAGAATGGCTCCCGTCCTTTAGAGAGTTGAAGTCACCAGATGTTAGGCGGTCACAGCTTTCACAGTCCCAGCGAGAACGTTCTTCACAGTAACCACCCAAGATTAGTTAATCATTATATGTCACCTGAGAACTTGCGATAAAATTGTATTTTCGTATAAAAAGAAAAGATAATCTTCACACCAAAAACGAAACTTGAATGGAGTAGTGCTGCGTATTTCCAAAATTTATGTACAAACCCACATTTGAACTTTTGCTTCTTTCTGAAAACAGTAGTTTTGACTTTTAATAGGGAAAACTGTTCGTATTTTGAGACTCATCCACTTTGCTATTGAGGACTGGTGTGATCAGTAACATCTGTTAATACACGCGTCATGTCTGCGACCTTACTTTCATTTAGTAAAATAAAAAATAAGCCGATAATAAGAAATTGCAGTTAACTTATTTGCAAAAAACATTGTTAAGAGAACCTTCCTCCAATTTCTCAACTTTGTTAAGTATTCTTTAAAATTGTCATAAGAGCAGTGAGAAAATTTTCCTACCACCTACATGTATATATATATATTTATATATATATAAATATATATATTATATATATTATATATATATATATTTTAAATTTTATATATTATATATATATTATATATATATATTATATTAATATTAATAATTGTCGTGCCGAATAGTAAAATGGTCAATTAGCAAGAACTCATTTAAAATTAAGTCTTTTCTAAAAATTTCTCTTATACGTTTAAAGATATATTTTTTTCATTTACGTTAATGTAAAAATTAATAATTTTGTACCAAAAGAACCTTAGAAAACTTACCTAACCTTATTTTAACAAGCTCATTAATTTACCTAATCCAGCTAAATATATTAAGATAAGTTTACAATAATTTAATAATAACACAATGAAATATATTTTTTTGTTAGGTTTAGAATGATTTTTGCGAAATTATTGCATACACAAATTTTCGCCTGCCTTATTCGGCAAGAAAAGCGTTGCTATTTAAGCTGAAATCGCAAGTTTTTCTATTCGACCGAATTATATATTATATATATTATATATATATAATATATACGTGTGTGTGTGTTGTGTGTGTGTGTGTGTTGTGTGTGTTGTGTGTGTTGATGTTGTGTGTGTTGTGATAATCAAACCGAGCTTTTATATTCACAATTGAAACATAGACGATGGTATTTTTTGTCAACTTGATAGAATTGTCTACGTCGTAGTCAAATTTCTCTACATGCGAGTGGGTTGGCTGAGCACTCCGCTCAGACCTTTTTTGTCCCTCTCACTCTCACTTCATCCCCTTCAACACCCTCTGATACCCAGTCGCCCTTCCCCATCTACACAAATCCCCCCAAACCTTCCCCGCCCTCACCTCCGTTCCACCCCCACCCAACTTCTCCTCAACTTCCCGACCCACTTTCCTTCGCCTGGCCTCACCCGATAAACCCGCACCGGCTTTATCACAAGGGTCCTGTTTATGAAGTGAATATATATATATATATATAATATATATATATATATATTATATATATATATATATATATATATATATATATATTATATATATATTCCCTAAGAACTCTTCGAAGATTTTCTCTATTTATTGCTTATCGAAAATAAACGCTGATATCAAAGAATCGCACCTTAAGATATAAACTTGAAAAGAGGGTTTTAATTTGTCATATTTTCCATATTTTACTGCTAGTAAGTTGCAATTTGCCTTCGAGTACTCGGTAAGAAGTCAAGCATGGGCCAGAAAGTTTATTCCAGTGCTGCTTTATTATAGTACGTTCACACAAAAAGTCAATCCCTACAACGCTTGATTATATACAATTTCACCGTCAAGAACCTCCGAATTTACTTTTTATGACAGAAGTGTATGCATCTGCGAGGCCCCGAGGCCAGCTCGTCGAGGCTGCAGCTAAGTTGCCCTCACTCGTAAGAGAAATTTCCCCGTCCCACACAGCAAGTGGCCAAGCGACAACTTTCTAGGGTAGAATCTTTTTTTTTTTTTTTTTTGATGCCCGATCTTTTCAGCGGTAATCTCTCCTTCCCTTGCCAACTCCGAATGGAGTTAAATGACAAAGATGATATTTATATACGAGTTAATAATAAGTAGCAAAGTGAATCAGAGATTAGCATTGATAAATATTGCAAATGATGAATTAGGAATAATGATATTATTAAAAATTAAGTGAAGCAAACATTACGGAAACAAACAGCAATGGTTAATAAGCATGATTTAACCTAATAATATTGACTACTTGTCTTATAAAGCGTAATTTCTCATTATTATTATTATTTTTATTATATATATATATATATATATATATATATATATATATATATATATATATATATATATATATATATATATATATATATATATACATATATAATTACTAAACAGTAGAGACAAAGAATAAGTATCTTTTTGTATTTTACAGCATCTTTCATATTTTATTCTTTCCCCAAAAACAGTATTTACATAATTATCAACGTTACTCATTAACATCCATGTGGTTGAATGGTGTAAGTAACAGTGTTGTCTGCCTCCTTGCAGCATCCAGCACAAGAGTGAAGCGACAGGGCGTAAGCGAAGCCACAGAGGAGGAAGCCGAAGCCTTCGCCAAGGCGTTGTGTACGAACAAGGGACCCGGGGAGTGGTTCAGGCTCGCTGTCACGGATTGTCGCGATGTGATCCAGTGTACCGAAGCCGTGAGTAGCCACACTTATGTTTCTATTTTATAGTTTCTACATTATATAGCATATGTAACTACACGTTTATTTATTTTTATCCTTTTTCTCGTGTAGTTGCACGTCTCCCCCATCTTCCTTTTCTTGCATTTTTCCATTTTTTCTTCTCAAAACTTTCCATAAACGCTTCAAGGTCTTTAAGAATCTATAACCCCGTCCTTATTAACTCTTTCCTACCCATACAAGGAGGATATGTCGATGCTGGCAATGGGCTCTTGATTCATGGAATTTGAGCTTACCTCTACTTGGATAAAATTTGATTGCCTCCCATTTCCCAGATTCAGCGGATCCACATAAATATAACAATAATCGCCTGCACCCACGTCAGCGTTTTAGACGAATAAGCAAGATGCACTCAGAGCCACGTCAAGTTGCTACACCCCTGCCATTGATGTAACACTAAGCTACGCCTACAAAATTTACATACAAGAACCTCACGTCCACAAGTTTCCTTGCAAGGAGCCTCACACCCACAAAGTTTTCTTGTAAGAAACATCACACCCACATCAAGTTTCCTTCCAAGAAACTTCACACCCACATCAAGTTTCCTTCCAAGAAACCTGACACCCACATCAAGTTTACTTCCAAGAAACCTGACACCCACATCAAGTTTACTTCCAAGAAACCTGACACCCACATCAAGTTTACTTCCAAGAAACCTGACACCCACATCAAGTTTACTTCCAAGAAACCTGACACCCACATCAAGTTTACTTCCAAGAAACCTGACACCCACATCAAGTTTACTTCCAAGAAACCTGACACCCACATCAACTTCCACATTTCCCTCGGTTCTTGCTGCAGTAACGTACATTTTTTCCCCATTAAAGGTCACTGGTAGACATGAGTTCCATTCACTTTGGTGGCTCTTGTCAGTCACCTCTTTCACTTTAACGTTTCCTCCTCTTATCTTCCTTCTCTATTTCTCTCATGCCCTTTTGCCACGGGGTCGTGGTCGACAGTCACACTAGCATAATTCACGGTGAACATTGGCGTTGTGTATGATCCATATACAACACCTAGGGATCATACAGTGGAATGGGAGGTAATTAGGTTTGATCCTTGGAAGGGAAGGGTAGCTTCATTTCCTTAGATGAAGAGCCTTTCACCAGTATCAAGGCTTTGCTCACCTTGAAGGTGGTTACATAATAACAAGGTCCGCTGTGGCTGACTACGAGAAGTGACAATAACAGTAGATGCAGTGAGAAGGTGGCTAGATTTTGTACTCATTATTAACGATCGCCGAGGATGTCTACGGGTGTTTCTGTTCTTGTGAATATCGACAGCTGTTTTTTGTTGTGGAACCTGATAGGAGATTTTGTTGCTGTGGATACCGACGGCTGCTGGATGCCGACAGCTGTTTCTATTACTGCAGATACCAACATTTATAGTATCATTTAATAATGATAGTGGGTGATGGTAGTGGTGATGATATTGGTTGATGGGTAATCTTAATAGGTACCGGTGTTGGGCGATATTATTAGTGGATGGTGGTGGTGATGGTGGTGGTGATGTCATCCTTCAGCTATTTCCCGCAGTGGCGGGGAGGTGGTTATTGAGCAATCTCCTGGGAAAGAGAGAGAGAGACGAAGAGAATAGGGGAGAGGCAGTAAAGAAAAACAATAAAATGCAAGAAGGAGTCATGAAAGAGAAGGGAGGTAAGATAAATAGTCGACTTTTAGTTTGAAGAAAAAGTAAGTACACAGACAGATAGATAGATATATAGATAGATAAAGATAGATAGATAGATAAATTGAGAGAGAGAGAGAGAGAGAGAGAGAGAGAGAGAGAGAGAGAGAGAGAGAGAGAGAGAAGAGAGAGAGAGAGAGAGAGAGAGAGAGAGAGAGAGAGAGAGGATAGAGATGGTGAGGACAAGGTATGAAGGATGGGGAGAAATATAACTGGTAGTCATGTAGAAAGTAGATATAATCATGCAAATATAAAAGATAAATGGCTGTTAAAGGTCAAGTTAACTTATCTTCTGCAGTACTTCTGCTTACGAGGGTGTTTGCATAATGCAGCCGAACAGGTCCACTGAGGGCATTTCTACAATCCTCTGTCAAGTAGAACCTACGAGGATGTTTCTGCACTGCTGTCACGTAGATCGCAAAATTACCATCCAGCTATTTCTGTTATTAAAGATGAAAGAATATTAGTAAAAAGATCAAGGAGACCCACAAGTTCTCCGTGATGAGCTAGCTACGAAAGGAAACCGCATGACCGCAACAACGGAATCATCATGATCACAGCACGTCAGGTGGAGTCATGATCACAGCACGTTAGGTGGAGTCATGATCACAGCACGTCAGGTGAAGTCATGATCACAGCACGTCAGGTGGAGTCATGATCACAGCACGTCAGGTGGAGTCATGATCACAGCACGTCAGGTGGAGTCATGAAAATGTTAAGTAGAATTGTCATGACCACGGTTCTTGTCAGGAGGAAAGAGCTTCCGAAGGCGGTTACATTTTGGAAACTTTCGTTCGCATGGGCCTCCCAAGGTCTGCCGGCTCCTGATAGTGGGCAACAGCACTAAGGGGAGGGGTAAGGGAGGCAGTTGGTGAGGGGCAGCTGGGGACGGTGTCAGAGAGGGAGGCCACGTCAAGTTCTTAAGTGCAGAGAAGGGAGGACTCTGTTGGGGGTGCTGGGGCTCAGGGGTATGAGGAGATACCGGTCTTGTAGGTAACGAGTGTGGGAGGGTGATGCACGAGAGAGGGAAGCGATGATGGAAGAAGGAGACTGGTGCTGGTTAAAGGACAATGGATTTGGTAGAGGGGGTTTTGGTGTAGGAGAAAGCATCTTAGGAATGAGGGTAGATCAGATCAGTGTAGTGGTTGGTTCCTGTTGGAAAAGAAGAACCATTCTGATTATGTTTTTACCAGTCAAAATCAATAGTTACAAACATACCAGCGTCTCTTTCATGACCGTAGTGTGCGCCACAGAATGGGGAGAGAACCTTCTACATTACTATGTCGACCTCATGTACTCCGACAGGAAGAAAGCAGTTCAGACAGAAATTTGGTTTTCTCTTCAAATAACTTCAGTAGAGATCTGAAGGTTTTCTGCTATTACTATTTATCAAACACACACACACACACACACACACACACACACACACACACACACACACACACACACACACACACACACACACACACACACACACACAGGAACAGAATGTTTCAGAGATAGGGCACAGCAACAATGGGTCAAATGGAAGATGAAAACTCAGATGAGTCGCAGGGATATTAGGAAGTATTTCTTCAGTCACAGAGTTGTCAGAAAGTGGAACAATCTGGGGAGTGATGCAGTGGAGGCAGAAGCTATACATAGCTTTAAGAAGAGGTATGATAAAGCTTTAGGAGCAGGGAGAGAGTGGACCTAGTAGCGATCAGCTACTAGGTTCACTCTCTCCCTGCCAGGAGTTGTGAATCCACTCTCTCCCTGCCAGGAGTTGTGAATCCACTCTCTCCCTGCCAGGAGTTGTGAATCCACTCTCTCCCTGCCAGGAGTTGTGAATCCACTTTCTCTCCCTGCCAGTTGTGAATCCACAAATAGGTGAATACAAATAGGTGAGTACAGACACACACACACACACACACACACGCGCGCACACACACGCACACACACGCACACACACGCACACACACGCACACACAACGCACACACACACAACACACACACACACACACACACATACACACTAGTAAAACCAAGATAGTTTATCTGATGATATGAATCATTAGTCCACACAAATCTTTGATGTAACATTCACGATGATGGACTGCGATAGCACTAACTTGTTATAGAAATATTTAATCTGCAAAGTTTTCAGTTTCGGCTATATTTGCAATACATGGCAACTTTCAGGCTTATACATAATCTGTAGGTTCTAAAAGTGTCCATTACTGGAAACAGGTGAGAGGTTCTGGAAATCTAAGCCAGTCTTAAATGGCCTATGCTGTATAGCCCTTGTGGTTTAGCGCTTCTTTTTTTATTATAATAAAATAAATTAAATGGCCTACCATAATTCACTAGCGACTCCTTGATTCTGAAAGCTTCTGAAGGCTTTACAAGCAACTGACGTTCGGGTAGATAAGTCTCCTGTCTTGCGGTCCGTGATTTGCCCGCGACGTGACAGTCACAGATCCATCAGCTGACGAAGACATCGAAATAACAAAGTTGAGAGTGGCGAAACTCCCGACACCCGCTTAACTACTTTCTCCCTGCTTGACGCCAGATGGCTAACCTCCTGCTGACGGCAGCGGACTCCTGCTGGTCTGCATACCTGTTCCTCCCTAGCCTGCCACAAGGACCTGCTCGCCAGCCTGCCTGACCAGTCCAGCACCTCATGGATGACGCAAGCTTTGGTTCTGCTTCACTCGTTACTTCTAGAATTCTCAAACGGGTTAAATTTCTTTGGCTTAGAGTCCTAGGCTCAATTTTAGGGATTTTAGAGATTGCTCTAAAAGATTATTTTGCTCAATGATATCTTCGGCCAAGGTTTTGGCGCTCACTCTGTTCCTTCACAGAGATCTTGTTGATAAAAATATGGTAAAATGATGCTGGTTTAGCTGCTTCGTGCTATTGTTTGAGGATGATGACGGTGGTGTAGTGACAGAAGGCAGAATATTAACCTTTTGAGTTACGTCAATGTGCGATACAGTGAGTCTTTCATTAAGACGTCTTACGAGAGTCACTGCAAGTCTTGAACTACTGACTCAGCTAATCCATGGTGTTAAATTTTTATTAAACATTTTATTTCATCGCCATCGTTCGTGGATCTTACTACGAAGGTAATGATTTTAGGTTCTAATGGCCTCTTTAAATTCGTCTAAAAGAATGCAAGTAATCAGTATTTTTCAAATGAAAGATTCTGTTCCCTTACCGTTTGTGGAAATCTCATGTTTAAGAGGGGGTGACAGTAAATGTTGCATATTTAAGAGGGGGTGACAGTGAAT